TGTTGCTTCCGATTCATGTCGATCGCTGCTGAAAATAATTCATTCTCTCTGGACATTATTGAGGTCCACTCCACGTCGGAAAGAGCTCTTGAGATAGAAAATTCATCCAATCTGGTGAAATAATAAGATACTGGCGGCCGATCGAGTATCAAGGCTTCAGTTTTCACTTACAACACCGAGTTTTCCTCTGCCATGAGTATTGTATGTTCCAACATCTGCAGGCTTTCGCTGAATAGCCGAAATTCCGTTTCTTCGAAGATATCAAAACTACCAGAATCCGATTCGTGCAAATAGAGCGAGGACGAGTGATCTTTCCACTCCTTGAATGTACCCAAAAACCTTTCACATGTATCCTGGGTGTTCGAAATTGCCGCCCGAAGATGAATGTGGACTTTGCAACTGAGATTGATATCGCAAGAATATGTACCCTCTACCTCTGATGTAATACTCTCCAATCGCCTTTTGACGGAAAGTGGTTGACGGCCAATTTTATTCAGGAGTTCGCCAGTGCGCTCACTAGCTTGAATATTCTCTAATAGAGCATGCACGCCGCGCTGTGCAGCTTTAGCAACTTGGGCTGTAGTTGCACCAATACTTGTCAGGTCGGGCATCATGCGTTTGGGTAACTGTAGGTAGCGAACTTGTTAAATGGATATCACAATTAGTCAACATAGGCAGACTCACCATAGCAAAGAGGGGTAATTGCTGTTTCTGTCTTCAGATATAGTTGTCTGTAAACGGGGCCAATTCTTTATTTGGAGACTGTTCACTCTCAAGATTAAAATACGGAGGATAACCTTTTATCATATCTCTAAAGCCTCCAGAAGAATGTCTGTGTCCAGTTTGATCAACAGTCAAGATGGGCATATACCCGCCTCAAAGAGAATTCCAGCCATTGCTAGGCCCTCCATTAGCGACCGGGCAAAACATGCTCTCGATATCGTCCGTCCCACCGACTAATTCATAAAACAGGCTTGCTAACTTGATTATAGGTGGAGAAATTCGTTGAAGAAGAATGCATCCTGGCAGATGCCATATTTGAGCAACAACTCGGTGAAGGTACTCAAAAGCGCTTCTCGACCAACCCTCCTATAATGGAAGACCTAAAGGCCAAAGCAAAGCAACTTGGCCTTTTATTTATTTCTACCGAAAGAACAGTCCAAGAAGGGGCCTCAATTCAGTACATTAGAATATGGACTCATGGCAGAGTACCTTGGGAAGAGCCGCACCGCAAGCGAGGCAACGAACTGCTCTGCCCCAGACACTGGTAACATGGAAGTCCTGGCTAAATATGGTACCGAAGCCCAGAAGAGTCGATGGCTCACCCCACTGCTTAACGGTGAGATTCGCTCGGCCTTCCTCATGACGGAGCCGGATGTCGCCTCGAGTGACGCCACAAATATCGGCCTACAGATGTACAAAGATGGCGATTACTGGGTACTAAACGGCCAGGTATGTCTGCGATGGGCCATTCAACGTCAATTACTAATTCTGTAGAAATGGTGGAGTAGTGGAACAGGCAATGTTCGCTGCAAGATCTACCTTGTTATGGGCAAGTCGGACCCTTCAAACACAACTAGGTACAAGCAGCATTCTGTCATCCTTGTGCCGGCCAATACGCCTGGGCTGACAGTATCGCGGGTGCTCTCGGTCATTGGGTTTGATCACGCCCCTGAAGGCCATGGTCATGTCAGATTTGACAACGTACGAGTTCCAGCAGAAAACATGATCCTCAGTGAAGGTCGAGGATTTGAAGTCGTTCAAGGTAGACTCGGCCCAGGACGCATCCATCATGCTATGCGGTCAATTGGTGGAGTGAGACATTGCCGTCCTCAAGACACGCGAATGCCACTAACTCTGTTAGGCCGAGAGAGCTCTCGACTGGTTTCTCTCGCGTATCAGTGATCCTACAAAGTGGCCGTTCGGCCAACGGCTTGCCGACCATGGAATAATGCTTGAGCGAGTAGCACAAAGCCGCATGGAGATTGACTCTGCTCGCTTGGTCATTCTCAACGCGGCGATCATTATCGATGAGTTGGGCGGTAAAGGTGCACTGAAAGAGATCGCCGAAGCGAAGGTTCAGTCCGCATCTGTGTTGCTAAATGTTGTTGACCGCGCCATCCAGGCCTATGGCGCCGCCGGTGTGAGCCAGGACACACCTCTGGCGGCTTTGTGGGCACATGCGCGCACAATGCGCATTGTGGATGGCCCAGATGAAGTTCATATGCTTCAACTCGGCAGGAATGAAAGCAAAAGAGGAGACACACTCCGAGCAAGGATTGAGACACAGAAAGTAAAAGCAGCGCAGTTGTTCAGGCGATACCACCTTGAACAGGTTGATAGCCTGGAGCTCAACAGAACTCCTGCAAAGGCTTATTTGTAAGGCAATGACTAGAATGAGATATACATGTTGTAAAAGGGTCGTTATGTACAATGAAGGAATAATGTTTGTCGATTTGTATTTTACTTTCATTTATAATCACACCCATTACGACTCTAGAGCCAGGCTTTCTTCTACAAGATGACAAGATCTATTTCACTATCAGAAAGGCCCCGAATCTCTGAAAATGAACAATGGCGGACATGGTTAGCCAAGCATGACTCCTTGGTTTCTTCGTCCTTATTTTGTCACCCACCATTGCCAAATATTGCAGTAGTTGCTGGAGTAACAAGAGCCATTGTACTGTATGTAGTTGAAATCAGTGTAGCCAGGGCATATACTGGTTGATGCCATTATTTGGCCGTGTTATCGTACAGGAGCATTGTCTTGCCTTTTCCGGGATCACCTCTGATCCAGAGCAGACGGTTAGTTTGGTTTTCCTGCCATTGTTTAAATTGCTCGTTATCCAAGATCCAGTAGTATGACTCTTTGAGCAGCCCTCCGTTGGTGGCTCTAATACGTTCTTTGTCATCGCCGGGATTGGTCGTCCGCAAATCCCGTAGGCACGCTTGATTCAACGATGTTTCTGGTTGTGCTGAGGCAGTGACTCGAATTAGTCAAGTTGAATTGGAATTATGTCTTCCCCACTTACGGAACTGAGCGGTGATGTGACCATTGTTCTGCCCCACTTGAAACCCGGAATTTTCACCGGTATATGATATCGCAGATGCCATGATTGCAGCCAGGCAATGGTAGAAGGGGTAGTCGCGAAGACACAATTGAGTCGCCAAAGAACCCCGCTCCCAGGTGACCTATCAAATCCACGCTAGTAAGGCACCGCTCGGTCTGATTTCAAGCTCCTCCTTCTGCCGAAGAGGCATGACTTACACCCTCTTTTTGCTTGTTGTTAATATAGAGTGGAAGTTGTGTAAATTCGGCCATGATCTGTTTGTCCACCCTCAATGAGGAAAAAAATGCTATCAACGTCAACGGGGAAGGACCATTGAGATTATCAACCGTATGAGTATTCTCGGTAAATAACCCAGCACCTCATCATGTGATTCAACCTTACAACACATCTCGATGGTTTGAAACTTGCTAGATCAATCATGGACTAGCGTGTTTCAAGATTGAATTCAGGAAAGAATCAAAGAGAATAAAGTGAAACTGATTTGGAGCCCGTCTGCAGCGGTAAGCCACTAGGTGATCGTGCCAGGTAGCAGCGACAGAGCCGTGCAGGTCGTCACGCTGGAAGCAGGATCACTGGGTGATTGTGCCAGGTAGCAGCGACAGAGCCATACAGGTAGACACGCTGGAAGCAGGATCACCCTGTTATATCCACGTTCCTGTAGGGGAGGGCTTTGGCTTTTATATTCTTCGGACTGTGAATATCGACAAAGATCATCTATCCAGTGAGGTTGGCACAGCACCGCATTCTTCAACCAGCCGAATCTTCCTGCGATCGTTTCATTACTTTGTTTGCTCATCCCAACGGAAACTAGCGGGGTGAACTCTGCTGGGGCAGGGGTGTTGATGTTTCCGGATTAGATTCATTTGTCGTGGACAAGAACAATACCTGGATCCATGAAAAGGTAGGTAAATGACTCCCGAGACTCAAGTCAATTGTGTTTTTATAAAGCAGCAACTAATCGAGTCTCACTGTATAAAAATGCTTGTCGAATGTCGATCAATAAGGCTAACAAAAGCCTGTGTAAAATGAGGGCGGTGCCACGTCGCTGGTATTTTCTGCCCTCAAAAAGCAGGTAAACTGTTCTTCCGCCGCGTACCCTTATATCGTCTACAGAACTTCTTTTTGTTTCGCTAAACTAGGCGTCTCATCCTGAATTCATCCGACACCAGTGATCGCAGCCGTTTTTATCTTCCAATTGCCCTGCCCGTGTCCGTTGCGAACGTTCATCCACAAGGTTACAGTACTGTACTGTAGAATAGAGGCTTTTGAGCTTTCTTTCATAGTAGGTTCTCCTGCCTCTCTCACCGCCATTTCAGATCCTTTGTTGTTGATTTTGATTCGCCGCTTATCGTTACTCAGCTCACCTAGAGACAACCACGCAGATTTTGATCGGACAAAGTTATGTGATATCGTACAGTACTTTTCGAAATCAGCTATACCTCCAAACCTTTTCTTCTTGATTCGGAGAAACTAATTCCGACGCGCGCTAGGCCGGGTTAGGCCACCGCCTCATAATTCTGGCAAAACTGTTATCGTAATGATTGTATGGCTAGCAATGAGTCATCGTCACAGTATCGTATATTACATAGAACCGCTTGGAATCGTTTGGTAGATCTGGCGATCTTGCCAGATCGCCCGCTAGCTTCCCCTCTCCCGTCAGCCACGTTTTGCCTGTTTCCACCCATTCTTTCCACATGCAGCGAACCACCGTCTGATATATATACTGTAACCAACCTTTCAATCTTGAGGAATATAGGAAACCTCATTTCATCACTTTTGACAATCGTTACACGGGCGATGCCGTGCTATTTATGGTTTCCCCCCGACAAGAGAACCATCCATTGGAGCAATAACACCCTATGGTGGAGATGCCGGTACTTGGTCGGCCATGTTATGACGATAGTGTTCAGCAAATATCCCAAGGTTTTGCTTAGATAAATATAGGATATAGTATCTTTGAAAGAGAGAATCATCTCCCCCGGAGCAATTACCTCGCTTACTGCTGGTAGCGAGCCTTCGTGTCATCCTCGACCAAAGTACGTCAAGCTGTACGGGCAAGGCTTTGTTCTATCTGAAGGAGCACCGAGAAGCCCTACAATCTAAGCGGGCATCCGTTGGAATATTCTGTTTTCAGGTAACTACAACAAGACGCTCGCGCACGTTACGGCGAAATTGCGACAGTGGACGAAGACAAACGTGTCTGGGCAACTTGCCTTAAGTTCCTTGACTTGTGGACAAAGACCAAGTCAAAGGGTTAAGCGTCATTTTTCTTACTACCGTACATTATCAGAAGATAACCCAAAAGAAAAAAGAAAAGAGAAAAAAAAAACATTGTCTTAAACAGTTTAGCCCGATTTCTTGCTGAACGTCATACACCACAAACCAGGGATCAAGGAGTAACACCAGGTTGCTGATCAATCTTATTGCAGTTTCGACCCTGGTGTTTTCCATCTCAAAGCTGTGCCCACTCGGACTGGATAGTTGGCCCAAGGATTTTCAGATCGAGGATAGGCTGTGTACCAAGAATGCGATGTCTTGTAGCGCAGCGCTCAGATAGACAATCTAGAATAATTGGTTACTGTATAAGAACTCTTGGTACCAAACTTACCTCTCCAACACCAATGCTAAATCCTCATTCGAGTTGGGACAATGACCAACTTTACACCCTTCACACAGTTCACTATCGTGCGGTCCTCTGCTTTGACCAGAAAAACTGGGCCGCTCTACCTCAATTCCATTCCATTTTTTGAGCCAGTATGTCACTCTTTCCGCATAGCACTCGGTATCCAGGATTAGCCGACCAACTGCTCTGCAGTTTCTGCATCGCTGGTGATACAGTCGTGCATTATATCGCTGTCGGGGGTACATGCGAATTGTAATCGCGACTTTTTTGCTCGACCAACCGCTGGAGTAACATCCGCTGTTTTGGCAAATAAATCGACCCATAACGTTTGTGTCCCATTCTTCAATATTGGTTTCCTCATTATCGGCGTCAAAGAAGCCTATTTGAAGCCCTTCCTCGTCTAATAACCGTGCTACGTCGTCATGAAGCTTTGGGTGGAGCGACCACAATTTCGCAGCTTTGCGTCCCTTGCGTGGCATTTTGAACCTGGGTGTCGGTTGCGGAGTTTAATATGTTAATGATATCAAAAGCTTGGGCTGAGGACTCGGAATATGATCGGAATATGGCTTTGGATGGGCTTAAGAACACTTTTCTGGGAGAAAGGCTACCCCGCTTCAAAGCAGCAGCTGTACCTCTGAGGACAACGCATCGCTGCCACAGCACGAGTTGATAGGTAGATATGTTTCATGTGGTGTAACACGACGCTAAACGCACAGCTGAGATAAGAATAAAAA